TATCTGGAAATAACGCCAAACCAACTTTTTTGAATAGAATGTGTAGATAGAGATTTATCCAGTGTATAACGTTATCCATCCTTTGAACAACCGGGGCCAGATAGAGATTTATCCAGTGTATAACGTTATCCATCCTTTGAACAACCGGGGCCAGATAGAGATTTATCCAGTGTATAACGTTATCCATCCTTTGAACAACCGGGGCCAGATAGAGATTTATCCAGTGTATAACGTTATCCATCCTTCGAACAACCGGGGCCTGACCCGTAATGAATCCTCTCTCCCTTTAAACGTTTTTCTTCCCCTATTAAATATCTACACCGATGGAATTTTTTTTCACATACAGGCAACTTGTCATAGCCCCCAAATCTGGACCAACACAAATATGAACATGCAGTGTGGTCCAAAAAGAATCGATCCTCCACATTCAAAGCGCCCAAAAGAAATAAGCATTGATTTAACAATCGATATCAGTCAAACATCAACTTCAACTTTATTGTAATCAGACACGAGTACCCGAGAGGTGATTGATAAACTGCTCTTGGTTCCTGTTGACGAATATACCGGAGTTCAGTCTCGATCTCGGGTGGGCGATATTGAATGTAAGCTAATTGACCTATTACCACCAACACCCCCAAGATAGGGTCATCGTGCGCTTGCTTTACTCAGTCGATCTATTTCATTCCTCCATGATATCTCGAGCGCGCGTTAAAAACATGAAAATAACTTTCATACGAACAACAGTGGACTCCAAACCTCAATTTGCCTTGAAACTACGATGCCAATTCTTGAACTTGTCCGTTTCGAAATTCCAAATAATAAACACCACGCGCAATGAATGACAAAACAGTACGAAAAAATAGCGTTTCTACCACTAATTCAATGAAAAGAAAAGAAATAAAATGGTAGAATCCTTAAAGTGCACCAAACCGCTAAATTTTTTTTTCGTTTAAAAAAAACTTCATGCTTTGGTGAGTATCTCTACGAAAAAATTGTTGGATTTGGTCAAACCTTGAATTTCTGTGTCCCGTTGAGGTACGGAAAATCGCATTAAAATCACTGCCATTTTGACTCACGACCGCGTCGCAAGGATCAAGAGTCTGGCGACTAATGTGACGTCACTTCGAAAACTCAACAATCTGTATTTCGTGCCATTTTGCACAGTTCACTTTTTTTTTAACAACAACAACAACAACATTGACTTTATTTTTTAAAATGAAAGAAATAAAGGCTTTTGTAGCCCGCAGTTAGCAAAGCTATTCTAGGCGGGCTACCTAAACAGACACTGTATAGGCTCTCACACATACACACACACACACACACACACACACACACACACACACACGCAC